TGTTGTTTTTTTCCATGTAGAAAATACAGTGACAGAAAGTATCCAAATATTAGTATCCCACTGTATCAGCAGCGTCACATTTTCTCAAGCTTGATAACGATGGTAGCTTTTGAAAAGTTTTATAAAAGTTGTAATGTAAGGATAGATAAAGTTTATTATACAGGATTAATGCTTCAGATTATTGTGATGACGATTGCTATGAGTGATGAAATGTAAAAAGTCGTTCCGTGGTGCACACATGGAGACGTGTATGCAGACGACAAGGTCTCGGAGCGTTTTCTGGCCTGTAATCTTTTCAGGCCTATAAACTCTTGTTACCTCAACAATTAAAAAAATGTTCATTCTATAAATGCCTTTATGCACAGAGGAAGCATCAGATGCATTAAAATGAAAATATGATATATTTTTTATGTTAAAATGTGTCTCAAAGTCCAAAAAGCATATTAGGCACATGAATGAATACAACAGTGCAGTAAACCCTATTCTGTGTTATTTACAATTGCTAGACTGAAGGGAAAAAGGCAAAGGGAAAATCCACCTTTTTGAAAAATAATCTCTGTCTTGTGTGACACACCGTCTGGTTGTAGTTTTGCCTCTTTGTGCCAAGTATTTCACACACAGCATCACTGTTTTATCATCAACGTTACACTTGCTTGTCCCGTCAATTACACGTACACCTACAGTGTCAATGTGGACATGGTTACGGAGCTGGAATGAGCTCATTGAGCAAACACTATGACCCAGTTGTATACCTGCTGGCTTTCGTAAAAAAAAGCCTGTTCTCTAATGCACAATTTTTCATGTCGTCTGAAGGTTTAATGTCTCCCATTCGGCTCGTTAGTTCCTTTCTTCCTACCAGTCACCTCTTCTTTCTCAGTAAAGGAAGACAGGTGGAGAGACGGAGGAAGAAAAAAGTCCAGAAGTGCTTCTCTCTTTCCCCCTCCTCTGCTCCTGCAGGTTTTTATGGTGAATTTTAGAGAAAACCAGAGAAGTGTCTGCCCCGTACGTACTCCTCCACACTCCGCTTCCTTCTCAAGGTCCCGAACACAAATGTATGCAAATGAGTACAGCACAGCAGAGACAGATGAATTAGCAGATCATGTCAAAATGACTGATATAAAGGTAGATAGGTAGAATGTGCTAAATTTTAGATGTAGACATACAAAAATATGATCTCAGGTTAGGATTTTGAAGGCCAAACGTAATGATAGGGACTGAAGTTGGCTGAGGAAGATTTTTAAGTTGGCATTAAGTTAAAATCACAACAAATTCCTGTGCTGGATGAGCATAAGCAGACCTTGTAGGTTTAAGGACGTTTTTCATGATTCTGATTCTGATTCTGTTGCTAAACTCTGGGCAACACAATCTCACAACCTACCGCCAATCAACTGCATGTTGACAAGTCTAAAGACAGAAAACGGAGAATAAATCGTCTGGTGATCGATAGCTACCCACGGAAGATGGCTCACATACCAGCGTTGATAATGTTTTTAACATAAAACAGCAAATGTTTCATTGCAGCAGAAATGTTTGTCTTGACCATGAAACATTCACATTTAAAGCATCTACACTTAATACAATGAAATATCTGTTCAAGGCTAAACTGACTTCATGCAACATGCTCTAATATATAGTATAGCAGGGACCTATTTCACTTATGCAATTTTTAAGCATAGCTTACACGCAGATTACACACTGTCCCTCACAAACTGCTCATATAAGGTCTCATGTGCTCGTGCATGTGCTGCAAATGTTGTTTACTTTAAAGTAAATCATGTCATTTTCGGAGCAAAAAAACTTGCAAATGTAAATTGTATTTATTCTTTAGCATGTATTCTATTTACACATTTTGAGGGACAAGCTTTGCTTTTTTTCAACCAAGTACCTTGCATATATAGATGATACAGAAGATATACCACAGGATGTGATTCATTTTTTTTTTTCTAACACCGAACATAATCCCCATCTGATTGGTGGCACTTTGTGTAATTGACTGTTTCTAAAGTGTAACTCTGCCTTTTACAGAAAACATTCACTAATGTAGTATTTAAACTTTGAGGACCCCACATCACCCTTAATCAATGTTGATTAAGGGTGTGTGTGAGTGTGTGAGTGTGTGTGTGTGTGTGTGTGTGTGTGTGTGTGCGTGTGCGTGTGTGTGCGTGTGCGTGTGTGTGGCAGAGGTTACCGGAGTTGAACCTGTCAGTGGTCATGTTTGAGGTTTCGTGTTCATGTGCAAGCAGGTGCTTTAAGATTGTATAACAAAACAAAGGTTGAAAACAGTTGTTTAATGTGTCTGTGTGTGTGTGTGTGTGTGTGTGTGTGTGTGGTAGGCGAGTGGGTGGCCGAGTAGGTGGTGCTGCAGTGTGTTTAGAGGGTTCCCTGAACTTCATCGTTTGTCGCCATCTTCCTTCCTGTTTCAATCTCTCTCACTTCCTGTCAGCTGTCTTAGCCAGAGACTCTAAATCATCTACATCTTCGCTCCTGCCTCGACACACACACATACATATTCATTTAGAAAATGTACTGTATGTAGAACTGAAAGACACACATGCACACATATTTATTGAATTAAAAGTCTAAACTAAAAGGATTAAAGCGTTTCCAAGATGATTGCTTTTTATAGCATACACCTTGTTTTTGAGTTCCTCCCTGATCGGTTTTCAATCTCAGCATGAATATTTGAAAATAAAGGAACAGTGGAAAAAGTGGCTAAAAGGGATGAACAGCCAAGGAAAGAACAAAGATGTGCACCAAGAAGCAGAAAGCCTACCAACAAACACAAAGATTAAAGAAAAGCAGAGATGAAAAACAAAATAGAAAGACTCCGAGTGAGATAAGGACAGGCAAGGAGATGGAAAGAGAGACAGGGAGATGGAGGTGGTGGGCAGAAAGATAAAGATAGCTGAACGGAGGGAGATCCGTCAGCGTTTGTTTCCTCAGGATGTGGTTACCACAACAACGAAAAGGCAGCGAGGCAACATCACTAACCCTCGGTCCCTTCTCACACCTGCAGGTGTGTGTGTGTGAGTGTGAAATTCAGAGTGTGTGCGTAGATGCACACAAGTGTTATTTAGTCAGTAACTGATGGAGTTAGGTGTGTGACAGACAGGGAGTGTGTGTGTGTGTGTGTGTGTGTGTGTGTGTGTGTGTGAGCGAGCAGAGAGAGAGAGAAAAAGAGAGAGAGAGAGAGAGAGGTGTGTCAGTCTATAGATCTGAAGAAGGGAAATTATAAGACTCTGGACACAGTAGTGAACGTATGAGCAAAAGAAAAGAAAGAAAGATTGATGAAGAAAATTACAAGAAGAACATCCAGAACCCGAAAACAACAGAAGACAATGTTTGAAAAGGAAATAAAGCACCGAGGACTGGTAAAAAAAAGAAAAGAAGAAAACCTCAAAACGTATATACAGTGTATCTGTCTTCATCTCGTCTTCCTTCGTTCTTTCTCTTTCTGACTCACTCAATGTCCTATTTAGAGCAGCATGTGGTTTCAAGACAGAAATCTTAAAAGTTTAATGCAGCGCAGTGTAAAGTTCCTTTACTCTTGAAGTGTTGTTCTGTCATTTACTCGATTTCAGCTAAATTACCTTCGTATTAAGTTTCTTGGCTTCTCCTGCTGCGTCGCTCTCGGAACAAGTTTTCATGTATTCTGACTGAGTTGTGGGCAGACATTTTCTAGGAAGCAAGGACAAGCTAACCCTGAATGGGTTGGTGCGTTATCCTTCAGTGGAGGTGTGTTAGCATTCTAAACAGAAACTAAACAGACTTGGAGTTTTTACCAATGCAAACCCCGACACACTTATAAACAATACTCTCTTCATTACTTTATTTTGATAGCAGCAGTTGACAACACTAATACAACTAAAGTTCTATTCAAGGTTAGGTTTTAAAAAGTTAATTTCATAAACTACAGCTATAATGTGAGGAAAAACATGTATCCCCCTGTAGAACATCTGACCTGCCTCTATGTCGTGGACTCTGTCTTTGTAATTAATCCTCCACCATCACAGAATCTTCTTGTTACACAGTTATTGAAATCTGTGAGCATATCTAAACATGGCTGGACTGAGATCTCCTATCACACTGTAGCAACAACTTCTGTTACACACCTCAGACACTCATACAAAAGTATTTATTGGAAGGGTAAACCTACAATCACTTATTTGTTATAACATCTTCCTCTTTTATTCTCTATCCTCTTCTCTGTGGTGTCTGTGTTGTTTTGCTGGCTGTTTCTGTTGTTTCCTCGATTTTAATGTGATTTAAGTTTGTTGGTACTGGAGTAACTGGAATGAAATGTCTGTAAAATAGTTTGAAATCTGAGTCAGGCCCACAGCTGGCAATGGTTTTTAATTTCTCTGTTGTCTATCCCTGCTGAAAAAATGACATTCAAAAAGAAAAATGACAATTTTGTTTGCAGAAGAACTGAATCTGTCAGAGAATGTTGTGTAGCACTGGCAGATAAGTACTAATGCTAACGCTGTGACATGATTGTTCATACTGTGCTCCTTTCTGTGTCCTGCAGTGACATTAGCTCAACCAAACAAGAATCATGGATGACTGTTCACCCACCCAATCCTTCCCTAACCCACTCCACCATCACCACCGCCCATCCCTTCACCTCACTTTGCCCAGCCTTCAGAGCCTAGGAGCTGGGTATCAACCTGCGCTGGACCCCCTGGAGCAGTATGGAAGCAGAGGGGAACAATCCGCAGCGTCTTTCACGAATTCAAGAAACTCCTCTGGGGGGAGAAAGGGGAGCAGTGGCGGAGATAGAGGATTTCAAAACACAAATGGTAGTGGTATGGTTGGAGATGATGGCTTGAGAGGCCATCGTGACAGAGATGGCGGACTGGGAGGTCATTTTGCTGACGCCTGGTGTGGTGGTAGCAAGAAAGAAGAAATATGGGAAGATGGTGAAAGCTCTACAGATGTTTTTTACAGTAAAGCTGATTGCTACAATAACACAAATGGAGCTTTTTACACCATGAACTGTGGCAGCGAGGAAGGACTCAGGTGTAAACTCAGAGCAAATTATAATAACTATACCCAGGTTAGCTGTGATGCTAAAAATGAAGCGGTTTACAATAGAGAGGCTAATTATAGCCACTTTACTAAGTGCCACAATAGAAGTTCTGCAGGAAGCTTGAGTGACAGCACTGCAGGTTATTGTCGGACTGATTCAAGAGTGAGCGATAACTATTTAGGGAGAGAAGAAGACTATGGGTCCAGCTGTGGGTCGGTTGAGGATCAGCTTCAGCAAGCAGAGGTGGAGGCTCCTTGGCACAGCGTGTCTCCCTCAAATCAGACTGTGGAGGGGAGGTGGAGAGGAGAAGCAGACGCCATTCCTTCGACCGCGGGATGCCTACCCCTGAGGTCACCTATCACCATCAGCAGTGGGACGTACACTCAGAAACTGGACTCCTTCTCCGAGGCGTTCCTCTCCCAGCGAAAGAGACGATTTCCCGTTATTCAAAGTGGGGATTCCTCTGGACAGTTGTGGGAGTTCGGAGAAACGCCTGGATTTGTCAAGTCGAGTCACAGCTGTGCTTTTGATTCAGACTCCTACCTGCCGCCTGTCTCCTTCTCTTCCCCCGTTCACCACTCTCTTCCATCCTTCCCCTCTCCTCCCACATCGTCTCAGCTCGTGTCTTCAGTTCTCAGTCCTCCTCCCACACCTCTACCCCCTCCTTCTCACTCGCCCTCCAAAATGGACTCTCCCAGCGCGTCTGGAGGAAATGGACAAGAATCACTTGGTACGCTCCAGTTTTTCACATCCCGCCTTCAGCCTCTCCCATCTGTCCATTGCTCTGGGATGATGTGGAGGTTTCCTCTGCTGTCACACAACTTTCCACAGTCGTCAGGTGACGCCAGCAGCAGTGACAACAACATAAGATCATCCCATGTTTCTCATTATGGAAATATTACTGGTAAAATATTGTGTGCATTTTTGTGAATGAAAGTATGATACTTAGAAGATATGTATATAATATAGCACTCAAGCATTAATAATAAATGACATGCCCACATATACATTTAGGGGACATATAGGTTTTTATTAAAAAATAAATAAAAAATCCTATGTGCAAATTACATTTTCACCTTTATCATTTTCAAACCATTTGTAAAATAAATCTTTTATAAAAATGAAATGGTGACATATGAAACCAGTTTGCGATATATCAGAATTAATATATGTGTCTCAGAATTCGTGATCAGTGATTGATAATGTTTTTGTGATGTGTCTGATATTTTTTCTGCTGCATATGAGTCGATTGAAAAGTTTTACAGCTTAAATGACAATAACGTGAATTTACTCAGTTTTCTCTCCATCTTCTTGTTTTTCCTCCAGCTGCACATGACACCCTCCAGTCTCCTGAGTCGCCTTTCCTCACTTCCTCATTCCATCATTCGTCCCTCCACCCTTCACCCAGAGACCTCTGTCCCTTGAACACTCCGTCCCTCCGTCTTCCCTCTCCTCCATCTCACCTTTCCGGCCCAAATAACAAGGCAGCAGAAGATATAGCTCCATACTTGGTGAGCCAGAAAGTGAAGAATGGACCAGCCGCTCTGCAGGTATGGTGTGATACACCTACTCCCGACTGAGATAAACAGTATACATTATAATCATTTGGTTGCCAGGTTGTAATATTAGAGTTAAAAGAGTTTTTGCATATCCTCAACTAATGCAGCTGAGTTAATTTCTCTAAAATTAGCCAGAGACTCAACTATGTTTAGTGCTGCTTGATAAATGCTGGCATGCAAAAGAAAATGACGTAAACTGTATTTGTGTTACTTCTTCTAAAACCACAATCTTATTTTTAGACATGTGTAGATAGAATCTGCAAATTAGACACAGTAAGTTTGTGAAAGGCTTGAATGTCACCTATGATGGAGTTTGATTCCCCTGCTTCCAAACTAGGCCGGATGTATCATTGGCTAATCCCTGCAATTATTAATTTACCCCAATCACCTTACTCAGAATACATTTCTAAAGAGTGTGTGTTACCTGATTGCCTCCAAACTACCACAAAATGTAGCTCATCTTCTAAATACTGCAGCTTTTAGGATTTCAGTCATACAAACACATTACTTTTCTATCTGGTTTTTGACCATGCATTAATCAAACATCACAAAGAGCAACACTTTAAATTACTTTGTCCTTTTCAACAGCAACAAGTCTCTCCTGTCTACACTGGAACTCAATTTCCCAGTGTCCTTCACGCCAACATGGCTCAGAAGAGGGGACACTACACTCCACGACCCCTCCTCAATCCAATCCGCAGAGGGACGGGGCTGTACTCCTCCCTCTTATCGCCCCATCACAAGGAGGATAAACCGGCATTCAGAGAAGAGGAAGAGGATTGTGGTGTTTTACGGTGAGTAAAAAAGATGGTAAAGAAAGCAACACAACTGAAACAGGTTAAAAACACAGTATCATTTTAATAATAAAGGCTCTGTGCTGGCTATAGAGTCAAATCATAGACTGACAGTTTTACAAATATTTTTGTAATGAAAAAACACCCTCCAGGTGTTTGAATGTAGGTTTTGAGTTCCAGGCAGAGCTTCCACCATGCCGTGTTCAGAAAGATGGGTCAGGCGCATGGTCACGAGATGACGAAGCTACCAGGGAACAGTTGCTCTGGAAACCATGGCAGGAGCTGGAGAGTGCCAACTTACAAAATCAAGGTAAATGTCTGAATATGATTTTCATAATCTGTAAAAAAAAAGTAAAGATGGGAACTTTGGGAAGTGGGAAGACAGATTTCTGACAGAACTGTGCAGGATTCCTCTTCTCTCACCTGCATGTTATTCGCAGGAGAATTGGGAACTAAAAAATATCTTGACTTAAAATATAGCCTCTAAAAACATTTAGTAACATAATTAAATGCAGCTAATGCCGTTTATTCTTTTGTGAATTGTTAAAACCGGTTGTGTTTGTGTGTATGTGCACAGTGGAGAAGATGCTGTCATTGTGTAGTTCGAGCTGTCTACCAGGAGGGGGCAGTAACACCGAGCTGGCTCTGCACTGTCTGCACCACTGCCAGGGAAACACACTGGTAATCTTTTTCCTTTCCCTCTCTCTCTCTCTCTCTTATTCATATCCAGTTAACTCTCTCTTCATATTATCCAATCCAAATCCACCACATGTGCCTCATTCATCTGTTCTCTGTCCTTCCCTCTCTCCTGTGCAGGCCACTCTGGAGATGCTGCTGTGCTTGCAGCCCACTTCAGCAGGAGACTACCACTACTCTGGTAACCTTTAACCTTTGACCTCACCCTAAGACCTTAGCTTTCTTATACTCACTAAAGGATGATTCCTAAATGATCCCCTGATCTCCATACAACTCTTTACACAGAGTTAAATCACAATTTCACCCTGTGAAATAACTTGAATCAGTTAAATCCTACGGGGGTTCCCACCGCTTCTATTTCTCGGATGATTCTGAATCAGACCCACTCTGTATATATTCGCATAGTTTAACAAGAATGTTCTGGTTCTCAAACTGTGTCAATAATTGATCTATATCATGTATTCTGATGATTAATGGTGGAAGAAAGGTGCACAGTGAGGTGGATGTGTTTTTATACTCATTGTAATGTGTCCTTTTTTAACAGGTATACACAATAATTTAAAGGTGCCAGCATTGAACAGGAAATAATCAAAACCTCTATTGCAAAAATGTTATTTTTGATCATATAATGGACTATAAAATGGAAATTGTGGGGCACAGTATAACTTTGTAATGGCCAGTGTTGGTGAAAAGATAAGTGGGTCAATTATTTTCTGTATGAAGACTAATTATCAGCATTGAAATCAAATCACTATAGTTTCTTTCCCAGTTTTTGTCCAGTGGCCCCTCTGTTAACCAGGGGACAGAAATGACAAGAGACAGAAATGGGCTGTTAAAAAGGACACATTGTTCTGTGTCGTAGTGTCAACTCAGGTGACTGCTAAAAAGTTTATTTGCAATTATGTCTAAAGCCGCTGGCATTTCCCAGAATGCCACTGCAGCTATCAACCCCTCTGAATCACTCCTGGTCTCCGCAGCAAATACCAAACACACCCCTCTGTGTGTAAAGCTCGCTGTGAGTGTGCATGTCTGTGCTTAGGCAATCTGTTATGTGTAATATAGGAGATCAGTCAATCCACACACACACACGTATTCATCAGCTTTATCAGCTCAGCACATTGCAAAAGCAGTCATTCCACATCAGACTCATCATCGCTAGTTGTCTAGTTGCTGCAGGATTTCACAACAATGGTTGCATTACACGGCACCCCAGCAAGTAACAGCGACCTTTTGGTGTTTGTTTTCATTATTTGCCGTGCCCTCTGTCCCCTCCCCCATTTCTCTCTCTCTCTTTCTCTTTGAAGGCAGTGATTTTTGGACAGACGCTGAAAAGAGTCTCTTCGGTGCAGCTCTGGGTACTTACGGAAAAGACTTCTCAGTTATACACAAAATGGTACAACGATCCTTCATGCATTGGTTGTCTTTTGTGCTGAAGCTTTTCTAAATGTACTCCCTACTAATCTGCATTTGCCCTAACCTAAAAGTATATATGTATACATACTAGTGTTTTCAGCTCTATATCCACACATCATGGAATATATGTTGAAAATGGTTGACTGTCATATTTAATGTTAGTATTTTGAGTGAGTGCCCCCCTGTCCCTGGATCTGCCCCTGGTATATACACGTGTTGAATCTGTAACTATTTCTGCTGCTATTTATTTTTATATTTTGTTGGATTTTTGAAACGCACACACTTTGTCAACAGAATTAAAGCTTTATTGAGAAAGAAACCTACTAAAAGCCACTAAAATCAACATGTGGACAGTGAAGCATTTATTTTTGTGCAGGGTCATGACACAAAGGTGAAGAAGAATTTTCCTGAGCTGCAGTGTACACAGTGTGCAAACGTTCTTTTCCTTCCCTGCACCACCTGTTTGGTTTTTGTTGACTCACCATGCACTTCAGTAGGAGAACAGCACACTCATCTAAGTGCATTTAAAAAAGTACAGTTTTATTCCACTTATGATGATGGTGCACCGATGCATTAGAGTAAAGACAGATTACCAGCTCTCATAAACATCTGATCATTTACAGCAACTAAAAAGGATGAGGAATGTCCCATTCAACTCCTTTTACAGTCACATGAAAGCAGAAGTTACTGCATGATTCCCATCTGTAGTCTATCATTTGCTGCGATTTCAAAGTGTAGTTAAACTCCCCACATCCACTGATTATCTTTATGGCTTCTTATGCAACTGTGAAATTACTGAAAGTTCACCGCCACTCAGCGAGCCAGTGAAAAGCTGCAAACTATTGTACTTTTACAGTGTGTTAGTGCTACTGAACATGTCAGCTTGATTTTTGGAATCAAGGTAGACGTGAAGAGAGTTCGACATCTCAGTGATCATAATACATGCATTTGTATTTATTTGGGTTTGGATATGATGCAGGTAAAGACCAAGACGGTGAGCCAGTGTATTGAGTTTTACTACCTGAGCAAGAAACTTGTGGACAAGCAGAGGAAACAGCAGGAGGAAGAGAACAGAGATGAAGAGCTGGAGCAGCAGAAAAATGTAAGAAAAGAGTTGACTTTTAATCTTTCTTCCTCTTGTAAAACCGATCCTTGACTTCCCGCTTATGTTTATGATTAAGTAACTTTTTTTGCTTCAGTTCTCATCCTCTTTTTTCCTGTGGTGGTTTGTTAATCCTCATGATTCACTGCATCATGTGCTCTGATCCCTCTCAGATAAGCCTTATGATACACACTAACAGAACAAAATGGTGCGCATGGAATCTGGGATATTTTTTTCAGTGTTGTAAAGTTGGTTTGTGTTCCATAGTTATCCAGCTTGGAATGCAGCTCAACAAGTCAGTTCCAGCATGGTGGCTTTTAATTGGGCCTATTTTTACAGATGACGCCCATCTGTCAGCCAGTGGAGAGACAGTTTGGGCTGGCGGAGGCGGTTCCTGTGCACTCATTGGCCAGCTTCTTCCCCTGCAAGCTGTGTGGCAAGTGAGTAGGACCAGTCAGACCAGCGGAACACGCAGCACATACAGTCTGTCCTCTGTGTTTGGCATTTCTGAGCAAGCCAGCAGATGGTTTTGATTTCCAAGTCTTCTTTTCATTTTCTGTCCTCTGTCTTCTTTCGCTCCCACCAGAATGTTCTACAAAATCAAGTCCCGTAACGCTCACATGAAGATCCACCGCCAGCCTCAGGAGGACTGGGCCGACAGGCGGCTACAGCACCAGCTCCTCACGCAGCGTCTGGCCCTCAGCCGTTCCGCCAACCTCATGCCCACCTCAGGCAGTAACCTGCTCCCATCTCATGCTCCACCTCTGGCCTTTACCTCCTCTGGAACATCACGCAACAGCAGCAATGCAGACAATATCCTCAACTCTATAACCAGCAGCAACACCATCACTCCCAGCAATGCTGGTGGCCGAGAGCCCAGCACTGCAGTAACATATAACAACATCACTGCTTCCAACGCTCATGTGATCACCAGTGTTGATGCTGGTGACTCAAACCAAAGAGAGCCCACCTCTGTCTTACCTTTCCACCAGTCATGGAGCTCATTTGGACATGGCCCCACTCATGCAGTCTTCTACTGCAACACAGATGGGAAAGAGGATGCTGCAGATGGGACAGTGGGAGGAAAGGAGCCAATCAACTGGCAGTAGTTTTAAACTCTGCCAAAAGCATTACCATCAGTGAAGTGTTTCCAACTGGAATTCAAGCTCATTTTAATTCAAGTTTATGTAGCTTTTTCCCTGCAACACTTTCCATTTTTTTTACGTTAAAATAGCAGCTTTAAAATTAGTTTGATGGGTCACTGACTTGGAATATGGAGAATTCGTTCCTACGGCTCACTCCCAACATCTGTTCTCGCTTTACGTGACTGGTGATCGGGCCTAGCAAGTTCAAGAGTAACGCAGAACTATAGATCAGCGTTTATATCCAGTTTTCAGCAAGGACACTTAAAATATGAAGAATTCTAAGCAGAATTTGAGGTTTTTGTTTTGTCAGCAGCTCTTCTAGTTCAGAAAGCTAGGGGTCATGGGTAATACCCACCATTCAGTTGTGTTTAAGGGACTACGCAGTCAGAGCTCTAGTCAAGAGTTTTTTATGCACTGCATGACAACTAACATAATTGCTCAGACACAGAGCCCAACAGAATTTATCACCACAGGTGGGTGCAGTGGGCGCTGTAGCTCACTAAAAGAAAAATATTTAGTTTTTGTAAATTGTGTATTTGAATAAAATTTGTCAGCTTGTGATGGTTTTTGAATTCAGTAAAACACAACTTTTACACAGATCAAACAAATAAGATATAATATGTTTATTGATCCAGGTTAGCTGTTTTCCTGTTTCCAGTGTTTGTGCTTAACTAAGCTAGATATTTAATGGACAGACATGTCAAACTTTTTGTCTCACTCAATATATCAATAATAGAACCATTCAAAATGTCAAACTATTACTTTAGCTCTCATAATGTCCTTTAAAGAAGTCAGGATGAGTTTATCGGTCCATCAAGGTCTAAAATACAAATGTACAAAAACATAGAGACACACACGCACACACGTACACACTTACACTCACACAGAGATACAGCGTGTTGAAAGGATTTGATATAACACCATAATGGGCTAATATTGACCTTAGTAGGTCCTCTCCTCTCTTATAGCTGTCTGAGTGGCCGGCATTGTCCTGTTGATGGTTAACCACAGCTCCAGTTTTTGTGTTTTGTGTGTGTGTGTCCTGGAAGTTGCCGGGAAAAGGGCACAGTGAGGTTTGCACAGGATCTCTGTGTGGAGTAGGTCAGCTAAATCAAGACAGAGGTTGAACTAGAATGAAACATTTAAACATAAGTCATGTAAGGATCTCTGCGATGACACCAAGAAACTAAATGTTCCCTTTATATGGTGTTTCTGAAGCTCACTTATATCATCGTCACTTATCAATCTACTGGTTCACTAGCATTTCTCAAGGTGTTTGAGTGGATGTGTGTCAAAGTCAAAGTCAAAGTAGCTTTATTGTCAACTATTTCACATGTAAACATACAAAGCAGTCGAAAGAACGTTTCCCACTCTCCCCACAGTGAAACATATAAAGTGCACAGGCACAACAGATAAACAACAGATAAACATTACTTGGAGCTAAGTAATATACAGTATACAGACAAGACATTACATAACTTAACATAACATATCACTAAATAGAACATACATAGATAAAAGTATTAGCAGTGCAAGTTAAAAGAGGTAAAAGTGATAAGTGATAAAAAGTGATAAAGTGCAGAGACAGTATGGTATGGTATGTATGTATGTAGGTATCCTTTTAAAAGACAATATGAGTATGAATGTCCTCAACGAGTGCATGGATGTGTTTTTATGTGTCTGTGTTTGCAGCATTTGATCATTATGTCTTTTTTCCTGTAGATGTCCCTGATATATTTAACAATGGTCCCCTACCAGAGAACTCGTTGTCTGGCACAGTTTGTCTGCCCTCCTTTATCCCTCTGATGTCTGTTTTTCTCAGATCTTTCCTAACACAGCACCGCCCACCCCTGTAATTTAGAGAGTGAGCTGTTGCTAGTTAATAAATGAGGTCTACCAGTGTCAGATTTGTCCTCTTCACACTTCCACAGCCTCCCATACATCCAGGCGCTGCCAATGTGGCATTAAATGTGTTGATTTGAAGTGTGGGGACAAACTGAGACTGAATTTGAAATCCTACCCTTATGTAAATATGTTTGCAGTTACAGTCTTTCCTCATCGCTGTTTTTAATTTTGCACCGAAGACGGAGGAATCATAGAGAGAGAGAGAGCGACAACAAGCTTGTAGAGAAAGGGGTAGAGGGGGACCAGACCAATGAGGAGAGGGGAGGGAGGGATGGGGAAAGAATAAACAGAGAAGTTACTGAGCAGCAGCCATTCACCTATTCAGGGTGAGTGACTCTTTGCAAAGCGACCGGGCTCACATGCCCCCACCACCGCCCAGCCTCATTCTCTCTCTTCATTTCCTCCCTATAGGCCTTCAAGGAAACAGCTTTTTTATTCATTTCCCCATTGTGACATATTGTGTAATGTTTCAACAATGATTTTAATCGTGATACTTTGGAGGGATGGTGACAAACAGTTTTTCAAGTGTAACATTATATGCTTTACATGTATTATTACGTAATATGTAAACTGCTATATTGAAGTGAAATAACATACACTGAGTAAAATCAAATAATATAATCAATAGATTGTTGATTATATGTTTTTGGAAAGGCTGCAGTCTTTTAAAGCAGAGTCTGCCAAGGACCCTTCAAGTTAAAAATACTCTGGGGACCCCTTTGTTGGCACAAACATCACGTTATTAAGGGAAAATGGAGATTTAAATGTTTTATAACAGAGTGGTGGATAAAGTGTCTGCAAAGGCTTGTTAGCTGCACTCATTGGAAGTGAAGGACAATCAGTAGCCTCTCTGACTTACTTATTTACATATCAGGTCAGCTACTGATAATTGTTTTATCACTGTGTGTTTCTTTAATGATAATCACGATAACCCTCATCTTTAATCATAGAATACCTGTGAGGTGATAGATTTACTCTGTGCTACTGGTTCCTGAGAGTCGAAAGGTTACTTGGATGATAAACATTGCACCCAAACGAGCACACTCTGACATTTATGCACCCTTTTCAAGATGACAGTGGAATTAGCATGGAGGGTCTGTTATGCAGAGAGGGGGGCCCCATTAAATTCTTTTAACCAGGACCAATGTGGCCTAGCTACATGATGTAACACTTTGGCATGCCGTGTTTGTCCCACTTGGCAGGTCTGAGAGGACTGGCTCATGCTTCTGAAGGAAGTGTGTGAGAAACAAGCAGAGTGTGGTATTATCACAACCATACTCTTGAAGAGACTGTCTGGGGAAAAGTGTGAGCAGCACGACAGGTGAGAGCCGGCAGATTTAAGCTCAGTGGGAGAGGTGCCACGAGGGAAAAAGAAAGTTCATATGAAATGATCAGGAATCCCAATCCTACTGCAACTAAGATCATATTTATGCAGATTCTCTGATCTTCACATTATGATTTTTGTCCCTGCCTTAATCTGTTGCGCTTGAATGCGTCCTCTGAGAAATGTTATTGACTCAGACTTATCTGGATCTGATAAGACAACAAACAAGGGCAGAAAACCGTACCTGTGTTAAAAGCCTGCATGATTGTGTCTGCATGATTGTGTTTGCATGTGTGTGCGTGTTTATTACTGAACTTCTGTCCTCATGTCGCTTCATGCAAATGTACACTGAAGAACAAGTTCCTGCAAATTAAAGACATATAAGAGACAAAAATAAGAAATTGCTGCATCACTATTACATCACATTCATAATAAGGTTTTAGGATATATTTAGGACATTTACAGGTTTGGATCAGTGTTCAAATGAGGTGCTATGAATGAATTCTCTTAATGTTGTGTCCTCACACTTTTGTCTATGTGTATTATGTGTATCCTGATATAAAAGCACAGTATTCTATTGTCCACTCTACAAAGCAGCACAACAAAGAACCATTTGAAGAACCTGTAATCAAATCCTGTTCTTTTCAGCTCTTTCCTGAGACTTGTTCTTTGTCTTTGTCCAACACATGCACTCCCCCCCAGGTTTCTTCTCCTCTTTTTCCTTAGTCAGATGTTAAACCGGTTTAAGACGTTTATAAAAAGCATCATAACCTTTTTTAAAAGTCATACAAAGACTACACTGATCAACCTATCCTTTACAAATAACCTTTACATGTATTATTTCCACACCCTCCTTAAAACATGTGAAATGAGATATTAATAGAAGGGGTGATGACGACTGGTTTCTGTGGTAGTTAAAGCAGAGTAATTCTCTGTTCTATCTATTCATCATATTAACATTAATGATGACACGGTTCTATTAAATTACGCAGTTACGTTTTTTTAAAATCTCCTATTTAATTGGTCACTCGGGGTCAGAAGTAGCTGTTAGCATCACTTGCATACTGTCAATATTTATGTTGATTCAGTGTATTTGTTAACAAACATAACACACTCAGCAAATACGGAACATCATTAGCATCTTTCAGAGTTGTGTGTCTGGACAACTGAAGAACATAAGTCCAATATTCCCTCTGCTTTAACTCCTGTTTAACTTTCTCCTGTCTGGTGATGGCATGCAGTGGGATTTTGCAAGTGTATTTTTTTTTTTCCTTGCAAATATGCAAATATTGATTATAGCAGTTTTATTTTGTCAAAACATCAACTATAAAGAGGCTTTTTACACCAAGCAAAAAAGCTAATTTGCCAAACTCCCTTAAATACTGCTATTTGCTATTATTCACTGACGCCATGGAAACACGCAATATAGTCAATGCACAGGAGTAAAGACAGATCTCTATAAAAAAGCTTTTATCATATGATGTCTGTGACTTTTATTATTTGTATCTTAATTATTATTATTATTTATTTACTCTGATTGTTGTGGATTTTATATCTTTGTTATTATTATATCTGTTTTTTTATTAATAATATATATTTTGTATTATTAAGTGTTAAAAACAAAGCGAACCCTTATAACTTCATTTCTTAATTACGCTACACTATAACAACACTGAGTCGCACTCCTTATTACGTAATTACGCGGCTCTTCGTTTACGTCATGTAGTGGGAGGAGTTTTGTCCCGAGCTCTTTAAATGGTGCCGCTCCCCGCGTGCTGCAGTGTCCTCCTCTGTGATTGGCTGAGAGCAAAGGCGGGGGGGGCGTGCCCAAATACGTCATTTCAAAGAGAGCGGGGGAGATAGGGAGAGAGGGATGGAGGCTTATGGAGAGAGAGAGAGAGACAGAGAGACACAGAGACAGAGAGAGAGAGAGAGAGAGAGAGATTAACAGTGAGTAGGAGGCAGGCGCAGTAGCAGACTCCTATATCCGCCTGACGGAGACGGACGGTGCCAGCTGCTAGCTACGTTAGCCACCGTTAGCAACTAGCTTAAGAGTCGTCGCACGTTTTGCTACATATGAGCAAGAGAGAGAGGGAGAGAGAGAGTGTGTGTGAGTGACAGCGTGTGTGTGGCTGTGTGTGTGTGTGTGTGTGTGTCGACGCTTTTAGCGCGCGACTGGCCGTCCCGAAGTCACCCTTCCGTGTGTGTGTGCGCAAAAGTGCTCGTGTGTGTGTGTAAACCCAAGGATCTCCCTCCTTCTCTTCCTCTCTGCAGCGTGTGTGAGTGTAAGTGAGTGTGTGTGTGAGTTTAGCAGGACAAGAAGCACACACACACACACACACATATAAACACAGTGTGATATTCCACTGTATACACTCGGTGTCCGGTTACTTGACAGAGGATTCACGGCAGCATGTGAGTACTGATGGACAACGTGTGTGTGTTTTACATGAATGAACCCATTTCCCTCTCCTTCTCCCCCCCCACCCCCGAGTGTGTGTGTTTGGCTCCATATGTTTCGTGCCTGTCTTACTGTCAACGTGGTAACACAACTGTCTTAGCTGCTGCATGAAGACATGCACAACCAGAGCCACAATCTGTGCATGGAAAACTTCATCTCAAAGTAAAATAGTGTTGTATTTACTCCAATGGCTGCTCTCACTAACTTCCTTCATGACTGACTCCTTATCGCTGAAACCTGCACAGGGAAACCTGAACCTTTTAAGGGCAGCACTCAAAACTAGGGTCAAAGGGTTCTGACAGGGTTGCACGAGGTTTCTGATAACGGATTGTGTGGTCTCACTGCAAGGAGGTTTGATTTCCCACCTGGGTCTGTCAGTGTGGAGTTATCCCCGTGGTCGTGTGGGTTCTCTTTGGCTACTCCCAGCTTTCTGCCAAAGTCAATAGACATGCAGATTGTGGTTAGGTTAATATTGAAAATGATTGTTTGTCCTTGTATAGCTGCTTTCAGACGTGTGATGAACTCTGGCTAATTTCCTGACATCCTCTGGAGGGACTGTATATTTGATAACTTAAATGTTTGAGTGAGAGGTCCCGGACTCTCCGGAGTCCATGTGAGAATAAGACAGGAGCTACTCCGGAGGCTTCAGTGTGAGCAAGTTGGTGCGTTGAGGACCTTTCTATAAGATGTCAGGGCAGCTTTAGGTGATAAGAGCCGATGCGGTGTTGATGTGCTTCAAGAAGACTTCTGTGTGTTCTTGTATGTGTCTGAGTGGAGAATCTCCACCTGTATCCAGGGTGTACCCCACCACTGGCAGATGTCTGCTGGGATTTGCTCCACCACCCCAGCTACCTTTAAAGATTAAGCGATAAAGATGTATTATTATTAACTGGCACAGAAAGAAAACTTGTTCAGGTTCTTCTCTGACACATGCAACATCTTATCACCAGGTTGCGTGGAAACCTTGGCAGTTTTTTGTGTAATCTTGCTTACAAACAAACAAACCAACCCTGCTTTTTTTACCTGATCTGTAGCAGTAGGAGGCTCTGAATTGAAGTTTCCGCTGGTGCGGCAGTAAATGTCTGTTACATGCTGGAACTTGTAAATTGCCTGACATGTTTGTTTGCTCGCGACCTGCACATCAAATGAGCTGTGTGCATGACCTGATTCTCACAGCGTCTCTGTGTTGAAGAAATGTGGTCTCTGCTCTTTCACCTTTGACCCAGTCGATGTGTATCTGATGTGTGAAAATTAATTTCTGGTTTGTTTTTATAAAGCAACTTCAGTCAGTACTCGCAGAGCAGCTGTCCCATCCGAGAGTTGAGGGACGTCCAGTGGGAGCTGTGCAGAGGTTATACAACGACAGCTATTTCCAAGAACTTTCTTAAAAGTTAAAAGCAGAACTTGGTAGTTTTTCCGTTTTCAGGGCGGTGATCAGAAATATGCAGACAGAGAAAGGCAATCATCTACTTTTTGTGTCAGGCCTCTAAAACAAAACTGCAGTGTCCTTGAGTTTCTAATGGACATTCACCTTGATGATAATATTTGTGACAATAAAGACACATTCATTATCGTGCCATGACAGTGATGTAGAGGTTTTGCTGCTCTTTTTTTTCATAAGCATGGGATCCATTATGTAAATCACAAAATGTCTTACCTGGAAAGTCGCAATGAAAACATTAAAGGTCACGAGTTTCTCTGAAAGACAATTTTAAGAGTTTCATGAGTAGCGGTTGGACAGACAGGAGCTAGTTGAGCTGTTGTGAGTGCAGCAGTGCAGTAAGATGAAAATAACGAGCTGCAATATATCATTAAAGCCCATCTGAGTTTTCAGGTTATAGCTGCTGCTTTATCAGTTAAACGTAGCTTGTAACTGTGCTGCACATTAAAGACCTGTTCAGACCTGGTATTAAAATCTGTCCCGAGACATCAGTTAACAAGTAGACAGCTGAGTTTGTCCCCTGGCATTAAAATATGTCTCCTACTAACACTTGAGGTCAGATCTCACTACACTGCTTTAAATGCATATATCAATGTTTGTGAGTACTTTAAGCTGTGATTGGTTCACTCAGAGGACAGATTTTATACCAGGCCTATGGGCATCTAAGTCTTAATCACTTTATAATCAACAGAACTAGGTATCATTGTGCTTTTGTTTGCTTAGAATGAGCCTTTCACAAGCTACACAGGGAGCGTGTCTTGTTTCATGCAGCTCACCAGGCTCGAGAAAGGACCTTTAGCATTTATGTCACCTGAAGGCCACCGTAGTTCTCCTCCACACTTTGAAAAGAGGAATTGAACAGGATTGGGTACAAGTATCAGCAAATCTATTGGCATCTATTAGATTACAGTATTCTTCAGCGCTGTAGAAAATGTGAAAAGAAGGTCTCGGAAAGCAACATGCATGTAAAGAATTTATTAAGAACTGTGTAAGAAATCTTGTTTTTCCAACATATTGTGTATCGTACCAAGTCAGCTTGTAGCAGTGGGCGGCAGCAGCGTCTTGTTGACACAGCTGTTCAGGGCCTGAGTGGCAGTGAAAGTCAAGAGCAAGGTGCTGCAGTTTCAATCCTGTCAATTTCTCGCAAATACAATACATCTACTGATGCTGCTATGTTCAAAGGATCATCAGCATCAGCGTGGGAACAATTTGATTTAGGATTAGTGTTGAATTGTGTGAAGTCGGTAAGAAATTCTATGAAGCTCATGCAACATTAACATCTTGCTCAAATGTTGCTGTCCAGGCTATTTTTAAAGGGTAAGAGTGTTTCAGAGTATCCCAGACTGCTTCAGGATTCAAACCATGTATTTCCTTTTCAATATCCCAACATTAATGCCACCTCTACTACATCCAGCCAGCATTTGTCTTGTCTACAGTAAATTGTGTGCAGAAGATCACCCTCACGAAATCCACAAAACAAGCAGCCTCAGTGATACAACTATCTTTTGAACAATGTTTTGACATACACATTGTTTTGTCACTGAGCGTTTAAGGTCCTGGTTTTACGGAATTGTGTGCCATGGCCTTAACACACTTAAACTTGGCTCAGGTTACAGGAATTTTGCAATATTTTGTTTTAACCCCAAGAACCAGAGGAGAAAACTGAAACTTAGTCTGTATCAGTGTTAAAACCAGATTATCTGGTAGCGTGAGAGGGTTAAAAAGTTATTTTTACCCTCTTGAAAGTATAATTTGGACCACAGCGCTAATTATCAAAGATCTTTAATATTAAGGATTCAAAATGTGATGATTCTCCTTATGATCTTGATGCAACATAATTTTAAAATCGCTTAGGTTTTCAAAACTCCTGTAGTCTGAGCCCGGCTAGAAGAGGATAAAGTGGACAAAGGTCTGATATTCACACTTAAGATAAATCGTATCATTATCTGCTTATTAGAATCACAATCAGGGCTTTTACCTGATTGAAGAGTCTCTCATGTGTGCAGATAGGGCAGTGTGTGTATTCTCCCCATGATCGGTCAATTAGGGCAAAGTTGATGCTTGTAATGTGTGTTTGTGTGTCACATTATCACTGTGTGTGTGTATTTGTGTGTGTGCGCATCAAAACAGAGGAGAACTTTGATCCTCAACAAGTTAATGAATGAACCAGAAATCCCCTCAGGTCTTTTTGAGCCAGACAACAAACAAGATGTTCTCAGTAGACTATAACCTTTCATTTCTAATGGGGCGGTGATTTTGACGTGATGCAGAGTGTGTTATCAGACAGACGTGTGCTGGAGTGTGGGGACATGTTTAGTTGTTGGCAGACTATGTGTTACACTTATGCTTGTCTGTACCTTTTTGTTAGATTTAATGAGGTAACACTACAACCCTTTAGCTTTATCTGTCGACTCAAGTGTGTGTGTCAATGAGTGGACAGCAGCAGGTTTTGAGCCTCCAGATTTAATCTTATGGAACTAAATGTCATTGCTGATTAGCTGGCCTGAGTTGTATTTGTGGTCTGGGGAGGAGAAGGAGTTGTAGTTCTCCCAGTGAATACAGTGACATCTGATAAAATTCGATATGTGAGCAGTCCACAGTGTCTTGTGAAACTTAAGTAAATCACTGATTGAATGGGCTTGTTGTAGACGAGACCGTTTTATACCGCAAACAAGAAGAAAACTCGAAAATTCAAAGGTCACATTTCATGGGACCTTTTAGAAATGCTGGTTAAAGTGAATCTTTGCCAAATGAGACTCGCTTTTATAAATGAAAATGAACGCTGTGGAAATATCCTCCCATTTCATTGATTTTAGGTAATAAAAGATTATTGCTTCAGGCAGCCTGAGTTCAGATATTACGATTATAAAATAGTTTAATTGACGCTGAAAACTTTTTTCACAATGAAAATCAACCCTGACTGTAGACACCTTGGAAACCCTGAGAGAATTATTATCACTAAGTCCAAAATAGCTCTTATTTCCTCATGTGAAGGTGACAAAGTCTATCTCAAGATACACACCTCCAGTGTCACTTTAATGCGTCATCACTTTGGGAGTATGTCCTCTCCTAAAAATGAGGGCCCACACACAAAATCATTATGTTCTTCTTTTCTCTCTTTCTGTCACATCCTGACACAGAACGGTTTTATCTCGGCTGTGTTCACCAGACCCGGAACAGATGACAAACCAGCAAGGATCCCAAAATGACACATCTGACGCTTCAATGTGTCCACCATTTGACATTCCTCTCATAACACGACTTATCCTTCAGTTTGCTTCATTGCCTTTCCGCATTGTGAGTCACAGTACCGGGGAGGTACTTGCTGTGGTGCATTTCATTGTTGGCCCCATCAGTCAGTGCAGGGAGATGGATGGAGCCATCCTGCACTGATCCAAGGGGGCTCCTCCCCTTTCCATGTAATTGGAGGAAGAGAGTAGCGAGCTACGCTGCAAAACAGTCGGATAAAAGTATTGGAAAGAGAGAAAAAGTAGGATAACCTGAGGATAGAAG